ATCAATTCAAATGCTTGCGGTTCCGAGGGTGGGGGAGGGGCAATTTAATGAGGATTTTTTACACTTCTTTTTGGAAATTCCGGGGAATTTTTTGAAGGATGTAATTAGATGGTATTTTCAGCATCGTCAAGGTGCATCGGGAGGGTATTTTGGAGAATTTAATGGAATCAATTTCAAAAGATCAATTTATTAATTGGAGATTAAAGAGGAATTTGTTTGATGAGTCTTTTGTGTTCAACGATTTTTGATCATAAAGAAAAAATTATCAAGTGGTAGCGCCGGCGAGATAAACGGGGTAAACACAAAATGCCCGAAATTGCACGATAATTGAAAGAATATAGTTTCGGCAAGGACAGTTTTTGTCATGTCTGATCCGTCGAACGATTCAGACATAAGCCACGGCAATACAATCACATAATATCGTGCACTCAGAGAAAAATCTGACGTTCGATTTACAATAAGACAATAGTTGAGGCATTTTGGTGAACGATACGATTTTTTTTGTATGCGGCACATAACATTATCGTAACTTCACAAGCGTAATTTTTGCAAATCAAAATGCAGTGAAACTAACTAAAGTTCAAAAGTAACCACGACAAATCTATCGTGAGGAGAACTATAAAATAGTTGCAATGACTACATTCCATTGTAGTAATTACTTCCCCGGCTATAGTTACCGTAACTCATGAAAAATTGTTGAGGACTTTTTGACTATAATTCGATGGTGATGGAATATAGTCAGAAGAATTATATTTTTCTCTCAGTGTGAGAATGAAAACGTTATCGTTTGAAGTTGAATTATTATTTTGCATTACGAGTTCTTTAGTTTTCTCTACATCGCGATATCTCATTGTACTTAATTAATCCGGTAATTATACGAACTTTATATTCAATCCAGTGAGTGCTTGTTATTCCTGTGCTTATTCCCGATCCAAACTTTGACACTTTACTATTACTCGGTGGCAGTGATGCCGCGAGACAAGACCAGACGAGAAACTGCATCTTCTCGTCTCGTCTCGTTGTTAGGAAACCATTCTCTAGTCTCGTCTCGTATCGAAATACGAGAGCAATTTCTTCTCTCGTCTCGTCGAGAATTGAGAGATTTTCTCGTCTCGTCTTTTCTCGCCTTATCTCGTCTCTATAATCCAATTTGCACGGAAAAAAAATACACAGAGGGGCAGAGAGAGGGAGGCTCTCCCGACTCTCCTCTCTCGTTTCTCTCGTTCTCGACCGGCTTTTCTCGTTTCTCTCGCATCTCGCGACATTACTACTCGGTGGTAAGGAATAATCTAATTGGACAGAACTCCAAGGGACACGTTAAGACAGGTTTACTTTAGTTAACGGTTTTCTAACACAAATTTTCTGGAAAAATCAAGTGGGAAATTGTTGCTATTTTTGGTGATGAAGTAACAACATGCTTCCCACTGCTCATCTTGCGCATCATTTTCTTCCACCGCATATCATTTATTCTGTTGTATTATTTTGTTCATTTTAATTATATTTCTTCTTTAAAGTAGTATGAATAAACTGCAGTTGACTCGTTGAGTGCAACGAGGAAGAACGAATTCAAAAAGCCAAAAAAAATTATTCATCATTCATAATTTTTCCCCTGACTTCTAACTTTGATGAGTGTAAAAAATTGATCCATCAAATTCGTTCTTCAATATATTTTTTTAAACAATAGTCTGTCGTTGTACTAGCAGTGACTTTTTTTGGGTGGCGGATGAAGAATCATATTTTCTGCGCTCAATATTTTTTTTAATGAATGAATAAAAATTGAACATAATTTTCGCTCCGTCCCCCCAATTTTTCATACCTTCTCAATTCAAATAAATAAATCAGATGGGTACATCAACGCGATGGGGCGTTGCGGGTGTGTCCCACCGCCGAAAATAATATCACCATGAATACCCGAGTGAGGGCCCATTACGCGTAATTGTGATCTATAGCAGCCATACGTTACATCAAGACGACTGCTATAAAGGGCAGTTTTCGTTGGGCTAAAATCCCACAGTGTAAATCCCAAGCACCCGTCTCATTCTTCGGAGTAGGGGGGGGCAGGGCAGTAGATGTACGTAAGTACTTTTGTCTGTCTATTTTACCATAAATTTTCCATTCCCCGGACCCTCCCCCCGATCCCTAGGCTCCAATCCTCCTGTGCGATTTATTTAAAATTACCTACCCCGCCCATTTTCTGAGAAAATATTTTTGCGAATGAACGAACAAAATTATTTCAAGTCCCACTTATTTTTTTACAATTTCCGTAAGATAGCGTTGTCAATCAATTGACAATTAGAGGATGTACTCACTTCAATTTTGCCAATTTTTTATTGATTTTCATTTTGAAAATTTGATTTTGTGGTTTTTTTTTTGTATTGTCAATTTTCAATGACGAAATTACTTGAAATATCATGAGACCTGTTATTTAATGAAAATTTAGAAATTGCTAAGATAAAACACTTTCGATTTTTAAGAAGATGTCACTAATGTCCCAATTTTTAAAAAATCTGTCACCAATTATTAAAGCAAGTTTTTCGTGTTTTTTAAATAAAAATCTCAGTTTTAGTCGCGGATAGTCTCGTCCAGTATTCTACACATAGAAAACTCGATGAACTCGAAACCGGGATGAGATAAATTGACTTCCGGAGTCGTCACGAGCGGAGCCGATACTGCAATGCGAGACAGACGAGACCAAAAATTTCCGTGTTTACCGAGACCGAGACAATCCTTCCAAAGTATTGTTTCGTGATGCCTCGTAACGTCTCTTATGGTCTCACTAAAAAATATCGATTTTCACATAAGAAAATCAACATTCATTCATTACCTCTTTTGGAATGGGTTTCACGTGTGAAAACTCCACGCAATAGATGTCGCCCTAGGGAACTCTGACGTTTTCCCGTAACGTATGAGTATTCCACTCCCATTGATAGTTCCATGTTTTATATTTCATTATTTCCAAGGGCCAAAAGGGAAGTCAAAGGGGCGGGAAATAAAGAAAATACTGGGATTTCGAGACTGAGACGAGACCAAAAATTTCCGTTTTCCCTGAGACCTTCAAAGTATTGTCTCGTAAGTCTCGTGAAGTCTCTTGTAACATCGCTAGAAAATATCGATTTTCGCTTAAGAAAATCGACATTCATTCATTGCCTCTTTTGAAATGGTTTTCACGCGTGAAAACTCTGTGTAATAGATGTCGCCCTAGGGAACTCTGACGTTTTTCCGTAACGTGTGAGTATTCCACTCCCATTGTTCGCTCCATGCTTTATATCTCATTATGTCCAAGTGCCAAAAGGGAAGTCAAAGGGGCGGGGAAATAAAAAAAATAGTCAATGTTACCAGTCTTATGGGTTTGTAGATGTTTATATGGGGCGTGTAGGCCCCCTCTCTGCGTATGGTGTCTTTTTTTTTCAAGCCATGGGCTATGATATATAGCTTCACGTTAACCCGGTGCACACGGTTACGGTGCGTTACGCCTGGCGTCCCCGGGTTTCTGCATAAAATCATCGTTTCCCCGGGGGATATGATGGACGGCCGTGGAAATAAGGGCGAGGAAAACGTATTGCCCATGTATGCGTTACGAGCGATTTAAAATGGGGATTGAATGTGTGCGAGGATCCAGAGGCGAAAAATACTTGAGTTAATCGTTTGGCAGTGATGGCATGGGGAGTCTGTTTGGACGACGGTTTTCATGGTTGAATTCAAGAGCAATTGCGGCGGGAAGGGGAAGGGGAGGATTAATTTCGGGTGATGAAGGAATTTTTTACGTCAGCTCTGATTTTGGAAACTATCCGGGCAAGACGAAAATTATTTGAGAGCTCAGAAAAACGAATAAAAACATAACGAAGGATTAATTTTTTCGATCATTATTAAAAATCAACGACTCAAAATATTTTTTTGTTCAGTGAAACGAACCATTTTATTTTTTTAGATGAAGGATTTTTACTTATTTTCATTTGATTCGCTTCAATTTTGAGTAATGAAGAAATTTTTTCCATCAGTTTTAATCGGTAAAACCATCCAGGCAAACGAAGCAAAAAAAAATTGAAACAGTAACCAACTGATTTGATTGTTTATATAATTATAAAAAATGAATGAGCCAAAATATTTATTTTCTTCGAGGGGATTAAGGATTTCATTTTATTCAATGATGAATTTTGACTTCATTTTTTCAATTCATACGTATTCTCCATATTTTTTTTCTCTCGTATACCCTTTCGGGTTTTTACGGTTTGTTCCCTTCCCACCCCCAACCCCCCGTACCGCATTCACCGAAGGACAAGGGAAAACCTCACTTGAGGGAAAAACCTGCCCAAGTACAGTCGTCTCTTGCGAGATTCCCGCTCGACAATGAAACCGTCAGATTTAGACTGTCACAAATTTTGCCCCCCCCCCCCCCCCCAGTTCGAGATCGAACCCGGGGCTCCCGCATGCCAATCCCGCTCTCTAACCACATAACCACTGCCGTCGGTACGTATTCTCTGTATATTTCTGACATCATTCTCCATCAATTGATAATAACAAATTGCTGAAGAATTTTTCTCTCCCTGAAATAATTTGTTCTTGACATTTTTTTCATTTTTTAATTATAATTTCACATTTAATATGGAACCAAAAATTTAAAAGAATAATTTATATGTTAAAAATCTGAAAAACCTGATGGATAACTTTAAAAAATCAGTATTTTTCGAGGAACTGGATGAAACGAATTGGAAGTAATCTTAAGAGGATAAATAATTTTGAGGAATGTTAAAAATACGAGGTGGTTGACAGGTCCAGGAGCCGTTGATTTGCTTGAAGACTTCCTCTTTATGCCACAAGAGACTTTAAAAATGGCGGCGCTGCCACCTCGCGTTTTCAAACATTTCTTAAAATTATTTATCCTCTCCATATCGTCCTCAACTCGTTTCATCTGGTTTCTACCAAAAGAAGAAATTTATTCAAGTCATCTTTCAGATTTTTCGTGGTATAGGTTGTCCCCGCATTTCAGTCGTTTTTTTTTTACTCACGAGGCCTCTGAAGAGGTGACGACACCCGTTCTGTAACATATCGAAATAAAAAGTATCTATATTAGAAAGATATTATCAACTCCCTAGAATGATGGATTCTATTCTCCAAAGAATTCATGTATCATTCGTTCAACAAAATAAGGTATTGAAATAAATTAAGTCAGTTTATAAAACCTAACAGTTACGAAGACAAGGAGAATAGTCAGTTGTTTATATAGACACAACACTGCGCCATGAATTCTCTGCCAAAAGGGTATGGAAAAATTTGAAAGATGACTTGAAAAATTTGCTCTTTTTGTATAAATCAAATGAAACGAGTTGAAGGTGATCTGAAGAGGATAAAGAATTTTGAGAAATGTTCAAAAATACGACGTGGTTAACAACTCTGGACGCCGCCATTCTACTTAAAGACCTCCCTCTGTCACAAGGGATTTAGAAATATCGCCACCCCCCCCCCTCGTATTTTTAAACATTCTTTAAAATTATTTATGTCATGCGTGCGTGTAAAGTGCAGGTTAACAGGGGCGTTTGGAGGTCGGTAAGTCGAATTTTACACGCACCACCAATCGTTCTTCACTTAACAGACGTTCCCAGTTTTACACGCGTCCTATGCTATTTTACTGGTATTTTACACGTTCTCAATAACCCCTAGCGACATCTTGCGGTACAAACATAACCCATTATCCCAACCATACACCGATCAGCTGATCCATTAGACACTATTTAACGAAACAAATCGCAGTGCAAAAAGCTAAAAAATAAACTACATAATAATAAATAATTAACTCAAAAATTGAAATATGAATACACAAGAAGATATGTTTAGTGAACACGATGAAATACTAACAGATAATATACTTCGAAACGCTCAGGAAGCAGAGAAATGCTATCAAGAAAAAGCCAACTTTGAAAGAAAAAAGAAAATGAGTATTTTTTCTAAATATTAGAGAATAATTTTTTTT